AGTTGCGATCGACGATCGCACGGCCAAGCGCCGCAGCGAGGGTAGGATCGTCGCTCGCCAGCCACAGCTACCGATTGAGGTGGTGGGCTCGAGAGATAGATAAGGAGAGTGGTGGTAGCGTACCGGTGCGTGCATGCGCTGCGGGTGCGCGATGAGCCACTGCTGCAAGAAGACGTGCGCCTCGGCGACCGCCGACGCTTCGGGCAGGTGTAGCCACAACGCAGCATGCAACGTTGACGGCGTCGCGCACGGCTTGGAGGCGCCCGACGAGAGGTAGACGACGAGCGGCGCGGCAGATGGAACACTCGCTGGAGCAGCATCGAGCGAGAGCAGCGGCGCGTCGGGCGACGTCGATGTCCTGGCCGTAGGATCATGAAGCGCATCAGGAACAGGTGGCGCAGTCGTACCAGACGAGGATGTTGGGTCCAAGGGCATCGTCGAGCATGGTCTCCTTGACCGAGCCCCACACAACGAGGAGCACGATAAGGAGAAAGGCGGCGACCGGCCAGCGGTCGCGCAAGGTCGGCGACGACGACGGCAAGAGCGGCTGGCGATCGTCCATCAAAAGTCCCACTGTGCACCACCTCGCGTGGCAAGGTATCCGGATGCGCCGAAAGGCCAGCATGTGCTCGTGATGCAGTCGCCTTTTCGCTTGCCATGTACGTGCCCACAATCTAATACCTCTCGATACGACCATATTTCACTATCTGTAGCAATGGGTCGCGACCAACCGCACCGTTCTGACGACGTTATTGTCGGTGCATCTCGAATGGCGTAGCCCTATGGAGGCAGTCGCGCTGCTGCCACGCCAGAGCTTTGAAATGGCCATTCAGTGCCCTCGCCGGCGCACCTTCAACGTGAAGCCACCGCTACAAGCCGCCTCAACGCTTGCACTTGTCCGAGACGAGTGACGACCGTGACTGCAACGGTCGAGCCCGACGCCGATGCGTCGTCGCTCATCTCGAAGACGCATCATTGACCGCCTACGCACGCTGCATCGGGCGCCGTGCATCCTCCTCCAGGCCGGGACCAAGTCGACGAAGAAGACGTGGCTGCGATTGCAAGCGCGCGGGCCATTGCAATAGTAGAAGCCTCGTAAGCTTGAAATCACGCACGGCCTTCCAGTCACATCCAATGCCGTCGTCTACGCATTGCTCTTGTAGAACTCGTTGCATACCTGCCCAAAGGAGTGTGCAACTCGCCAGACTACCAATGACCTAAAGTCTGTCGATGATCTTGCTGGCTGTCTACGCCACTACCGGTAGGACACAACGCCAGTCGACCATGGTAGCGTTGTGATCGCGAGCTTCGTTTACACCATAGATGTTGTTGTTGGCTTCGAGAAGGAGGTGGTCATCTCGTTTGGCCCACTGGATCAATCTACAAGTACGTGGTATTACCGAGACCGTCGCGACCTTGCAGTTGGTTGAACTCGACAACTTCTGCCACCCATGGCACCTCTCTCCTCCCGGTTGAGCCGTGGGGACGCTAAGACTATCGGTTTCCCGACCCTTGGATCGTATGTGACCGGTACCAGAGCTCGTGGTCATTCATGAAATCGCCGTTGCGTGCGCAACACGTGTGTTTCCAAGGCGCGATGACGTGGCGCAATGAGCGTGCGCGAGACGGGGACACAACATTGAAATGTACTGCATAGACTGACCAAGCTTGAATTGAAATTTGCATTTAAATTTGCGGAATGGCATAGCACTAGTACCACATCAAGATCCCCGTCGGACCAGCCAAATATCAAGACATGGAGGTTTTATCAGGATAGAAACACCCAACCAAGCCAGCACATCCCGCACCAGTACCACACCCTGACGACCAACGCTACCATACACCAGCATCCATGTTTTGCCAGGTACAGGCCTTAAGTCCGACCTATCAATGAACGCCCCTTGCAACCGGCGTGGCGAGCTTGCTTTGTACTAGGTCACCCGTGCACCCGACGACGGTGTCGGCGACAATGGCGTGGATTTAGCCTCTGGCGAGATGCGTTTATGGAGGTTCGACGTGGATTCCACAAAACGCGATCTTGCACAGTTTCGGATTTCCAGCGTGTAGCAACCCAACCATGGGCATCTCAATGCGCAGCGCGAGCCTGCCGACGTACCCGGGCGAGCTCAGCGTCGACTTTTGCTAGCCTTCAGGTAGCCGCCCACCACCGCACCTCGAGCGCTGACCTCGGCGTCTCTAGGCCGACACGCTCCAGCGATACGTCGACTACCACCAGCTGCCGCTGCCATCGTCTGCGACAAAAGACGACCTTGCGATCCGCGTCGCCGCGTACGCGCTTCTGGCTATAGCCCGTGGCCTTATGCCTCTCTGTGGTGTAGCCATTTCAGCGAAACGGTCACCATGTTTGAGGACGAGAAGGCCACCATCATGTCGTTCTTGACCTACGTACGTTGCGCTGGCGGTATGGACGCGTCCCGATGATCCTTGCATGCACTGTAGATCCGTGAAGGCCCGCGCGACGCCGCCCGACGCAGCCGCATCAAGGCCCTCGGTGACGCCAAGCGGCCACGGGCTGCGACGCCCGACGACGCCATGACGTCGGGGGACGACATCTCGAACGACAGCAACCGGCCAAGCAAGAAGGCCAAGCGCAAGGAAAAGCGATACTGCATCTGCGACGGCGAGAGCTTTGGTGCGATGATTGCGTGCGACAACAACGCCTGCAGCGACCGCTCCAACTGGTATCACATGCAATGCGTCGGCCTCGAGACCACGCCCGAGACATGGTATTCCCATCTCCGTTCGACAGCACCGTTGTCATGTCCTAGCATCGATAGGCTCTGTCCGCTTTGTCAGCCGCGAGCTGCAGCAACTTCCGAGTTGGTGCCAGAAAACCGTACAACAAGCCATCCAGTGTATGGATTCTGTAAGCTCTTGTCGTAGTGTTTCGCAAGCCGGCGCTCAGCACGACGTACGGCGACATGATCTCGCACGCGCTTCGCTCCATGCCCCGCGGCGAGGTAGATACAACTTGATTCCTTGATACTTTTGATTCAATTGGAATGCGCAGGGAACGTTCAAAGATATTTGCGAGTACATTGAAGCGCAGTACGAGAGTCAACTCAACTGGAAGCTCGAGAGGTACACAAATTGTCCACGGCGCAGTAGACTGATGGACGATCTCTACTAGCGACCAGCGCAAGTCGCCCGTGTGGAAGTCGTCGGTGCGAAAAATCCTCTTTTCCAACTCGCGTTTCAAGCGCCATTCTATCACCAAGGGCGTCTTTTGCCTCGTGCCGTCAGCAGCAGCGTAGATGAAGTGCAGACAAGTTGTCATTTGATAACGGCAACATACAAGTTGTCGTTTGAATACAGGATATCGGGCTCGAGATAGCGCGACGGCGGTGGCCTTTACACTGTATACGGTAGACGCAGCATCGAGTGATCTACCAGTACCGCTATGTAGCCACTTGATCGTATCCTCCCTTGACGTTACCCCGTACAGCCACCACGCTCGGCACTGCGAGCTCGGTCTGTAAATTTGTGTCGGACTAAGGATGTACTAGTAGTGGCCTTGTCTACGTAGTCGTCTCGAATCAGGACCAGTAGGTAGACCGTGGACAGTATCAATCAATCAATCAAACGTGTTCGATTTCAAATCAAACTAGTAAAAACGAACTCAAAGACTTCGCCTACGTAATGCTATGTCTGAATGCGTGGGAGTTGGCACCAGCACTTGGTCGTTGGGAGTGAGCTCCATCCTGTGGTGGATCCCACTCGCCGAGGGATTGCTCGCTCGAGGTCGTACGCAGGCTCCTGTACTCGGACCACCCAAACTGTGGACAGTAGTGTTGCACAACTTTTCCCTTCCACGATACCAGTACAGCATGTCGCAAGAAACCTCGAATCGCTGGCGTGGTCGCTTCGCGTGATGAGTTGTTCGGGCAGCGTTGGTGATGGTCCCAGAGACTATCCGGAAACACAAATGTATCGCAAATGTACCTCAAAAATCAGTTTCCACTTACTGTTTGTATGTCTATCGTTGCAATACGACAACCTTACGACGCCCGTGGACGTGCTGTCGTTTTTTATCCGGATGTGAGTGATTGTCAAAATCGATCCAACGAACAGAGGACGCCACTTGCGAACGATCTAAATGGACGACGAGGCCGGCTTCACCAAGTTTGTCAGCGGCGACACCGTCTACGCCCGCGCGCGCCTTCTCCACCGCGCGACGACCGGCCGCACGACCAAGCGCTTTGTCGCCAACTGGGACCTCGAAGACTACCTCGCGACCATGCGCCGGACGCCGCCGCCGCCGGTGACCCGCCACGTGCGTGACGCCGCCCGCAACCTCTTGTCTCGCCTGGAGAAGAACCAGTTCTACGTACACGACGAGCGCGACATCAACGATCTCCTCGCGCTGGGCTTGCCCCGCGTCCGGTCGCTGGACGAGCTACCCGCCCATGCCATCGACGCCATCTTGGCCCGCGATGGCTCGCGCAGCGATGCACTGCACAAAATCGCTCTTCGACTGAGCGCCAAGCTGCGGCGGCTCCAGGACGAGCGTAATGCGCTGCGCACCGTTGGCCTCTGCGATACGCTACTGTACCAGGTGACGGCCCACGACCGCGCGTGGTGGCGATGGCGGCGGCCAAGGACACGACCGACTATGCTGCAGCGTCGTCCACCGCGGCCAAGAAGTTTATGCAGTACATCCACAAAGCAGAAACGCATGGGTGCGCGAGCTTTAGCGAGTACCTTCGCTGGGACCGGCGGCGGGACGACTATGGCTGCGAGAAGCGCCATTTGAAATTCAACTGGGCAAGCGAGTACGACGACGACACGGCTGCGGCTGCCGACGCGATGCAAGAGATGCATCTGGATACTGCGCACGAGTCGTTTGACGCGCAAGAGAACGCGGTTGAGAACGGCCAGCGTGATGACGACGACGACGATTTTGATTTTTGCGACGACCTTCTACTAGCGATGGCAGCCCCCGACGCCCTTCATAATTACAACACGAAGATCATGTATTAACAGGTCCCGTGCGGGGTGAGCTGGTAGGAACTTTTGAATATATATGAACGTGTTTCGTGTTATCTTCGTTGTTACAAAGAGTTCGCATACGTATAAACTAGCATTCTTCATCTTCTTCATTCGTTCACTGGGCCGTGGCTGCGCAGGCGGCGGCGCGGGGGCTCGTCTTGCTCTTCTGTAGTCGCCCGGGGGCGCTTGTGGCCGCTGGTGAGGCCCATGACAACACGCTGTGTAAAAGCCTTCCAGGCTTTGCCGTCGGCGGCAAAGCTATGCAGTTGGTTGAAGTCCTCGAGAGGCGCCGGCGACTGAGGCAGCGTCGATGATTGGAGGTCGCGGTGCAGGACGATCGGCAACGTGATCCTGGTGCGGCCTCAAAAACGGGGTGCATCGGGCGTGGCAAAGAAGCGGGCGGCGGCAATGTTGACAGGGACGTCTTCGTTCAGGCACAGCACGTGGCCCAGCATGCGCCAGTGTTGGCAGGCAACGATCGCGTTCAGCGGGGCGCTGTCGTAGCCCTTGTAGAGCGCGACGTCGCCGAGCGTGTTCGGGTGAAAG